ACTTCGTAAATAACATTCTTTTCAAGCGTAGACTTTATTCGAGTGTAATAAACGTAAGTGAAATGTATTTTAACGAGTCATATTACGCAACAACAATTCGTATACAGCATTGGTTTTATTGAAGTTTTAATGCTTTTCGACTTCACAGTGAATTATTTTAGCGTCATATTTGAAATAGCGCGCTCGATACAAGATGTCGGACGGGAAAATTGGGGTCTGAAAAAATGTTTGCTGGTTCAGTCAGGCAATGTGTGGACCAAAACATCGCCCACTATTTGAAACATCGCCCATGGGCGGGGTTTAGGGTGGGCGGGGTATCAGCCGAATCCGGTACATATATTTACAATGTAGGTGTATACAACAATATTGGTGACTTTTGTCCATACACTTTTTAAATTCAAGTGGATTACTAAGAGATCTCTCAATGAGTAAGGCTAAGATGGTTTTACTATGTTTATTCTCAACTCAGTGTTAATGTTGTTTTGATCTCCAAGGCAATAATAGCGTGGATAATTCAAGTGGATTACTGAGGTATCTCACAATGAGTCCACCTGTCAAACAGCAAGTAGGGAACATGCTACAAGACCATAGAAAGAAATTAGAAACTGAATTAGAAGCATGTGGGAAAGATAGGCAAGGTAAGTCCTACATGCTTGTAGAATATTAGTGATATTGGCATTTTTGTCCATTTTAGTGGACAGGTGGATTGAGTTTTCTAGAGTACTGAGTTTCTATGTAAAGGTTGATGCAGTATGTGTGTACCGAAGGGTGGAATGCAGTAGGTGTGTACCAAAAGGTGGAAGCAGTAAGTGTGTACCGAAGGGTGGATGCAGTAGGTGTGTACCGAAGGGTAGAATGCAGTAGGTGTGTACCGAAGGGTGGAGTGCAGTAGGTGTGTACCAAGGGTAGAATGCAGTAGGTGTGTACCAAAGGGTAGAATGCAGTTGGTGTGTACCGAAGGGAGGAGTGCAGTAGGTGTATACCGAAGGGAGGAGTGCAGTAGGTGTGTACTGAAGGGTAGAATGCAGTAGGTGTGTACCGAAGGGTGGAATGCAGTAGGTGTGTACCTGAAGGGTGGAGAATGCAGTAGGTGTGTACCGAAGGGTGGAATGCAGTAGGTGTGTACCGAAGGGTGGAATGCAGTAGGTGTGTACCTGAAGGGTGGAGTGCAGTAGGTGTGTACCGAAGGGTGGAGTGCAGTAGGTGTGTACCGAAGGGTGGAGTGCAGTAGGTGGTACCGAAGGGTGGAGTGCAGTAGGTGTGTACCGAAGGGTGGAGTGCACCAAAGGGTGGATGCAGTAGGTGTGTATCGAAGGGTGGAGTGCAGTAGGTGTGTACCGAAAGGTAGAATGCAGTAGGTGTGTACCGAAGGGTGGAATGCAGTAGGTGTGTACCGAAGGGTGGAATGCAGTAGGTGTGTACAGAAGGGTGGAATGCAGTAGGTGTGTACAGAAGGGTGGATGCAGTAGGTGCAGTAGTAGATGCAGTGCTATTCATCCTGGCATTGCTAAAACTATTGTTTTATGCTAAAAATGAAATTATTGACGCTGATTTTTCAATCGATTCATGCTGCTAATACATTGTATGGTCTTTTCACAGCAATTTTAAAAGCTATTGATACTTTGTCGTCCGAAGAACACAAGTGTAAAACTAGAATGGTACAATTACTGAATGAGGTTGAGGTAAGATGTTGAGATTTTGAC